TTTTTACTGTTCTTTACGACAAATCTAATGGATCTTGACGATAGGAAAATTTTTTGCACAAAAGATTTCAAACAAAGCATTTTTCTTCGATTTCCATTAAGTATGAGGTATATCGTACATGTCTAAAGTTTCTATGGAGTTTTTTACTATTAATCCATTTATAAAATTTTGATATCTAGGAAATAGCCCCTACTCTCTTCTAACGGCAGGCTAATGCTATTCGGGTGTTTGCTTCTCCATGACAAGATATGTTACCCTAGATAGTAAGTTAAAAGAGTTCAATTCTTTGTACCTTTTACGAAAGATGGACGAGGTTGGGCTGGTACTACACAAGCATAAATCAAAAATACTATTTCTTAGGTGATTGAAAGTTTACTCTAGATGATACATAAAAAGACCTTGTAGTTCCAATTTGATAATGCAAGATATGTAAGTGCCTCTTCAGTTAGCGGAAAATAATCTGTAAGAGTATTCCCCCAAATTCTAATCCCTGGTTTTCCCTCCTTTTTGTAGCTAATCTTCTTGTCGATCCAAGATCGAAGTCTAAAGAGAGGGCTAAGAAAGTTCGTAAGCAGGGAAAAAGGTCTTATAATGCCCTCATTATAGTTATCGACCTCTTAGCCATCGATTTTCTAAGGTTGATCTTTCCATTGTCACTATCAATAAGTACTATTTATACATTGATTTCCCTTCCTATGAAATAATTTTACACGTAAACCTAAAACTTTTCATTATTTTTTAACTATTCATTCTCCAAAATACATTACTCAAAAATACATTTTCATTCAAAAAATGGGTCTCGAACGGGGTTTTAGAGAAAATGTCTAATGTTGACCTCATTTTGTACAAGGGTGGCATGGTTAACAGATCTCGGTTCCTCTTACATGCACTTAGTCTCTTCTTACATGCTAAGATAAATCGTTAGAGCATATGGCCAGTCTCGACGATTGTGGAGGCGACTGCTAGCACTCCTAGAATTAAGTCAGCCTATGTTTGAGTATGTACTTGGATGTGGGAGTGCATAAGACATGAGCGACTTTATGTAAAAGGGGTTCGGATTTGGGATTATAGAGAGCAATGAAAGATTGAAAAATTTATATTTTGAGAGCATAAACTTGCATTATATTTGAATGGCTCAATGTGTGAGCTTTTATAGTAGAAGGTGGTATGTATGAACCCACTGGATGAAGAGACGCGTGGCCTCATCCTAGCGACTAAGGCATCTTATCACAGGTATCAATCGGTCAGTCCTAGGTTCAAGTGAATTTAATGTTATAACCATTTCCAGCCCTAGGTTGGACACATAGAGCTAGAGTTGACATGTTGACCTAGTATATAGTGGTTGTTGCAATATGTTGTCACATCAACTACAAATGGAAGATCTTGTACGGAATATCATTTTTGCGGTGCCACTAACTACCTCACCTTATCCATAGCCGTCCTTTCCTGTAGGTTCAATCCCAACAAATGGATTCGGCCTTTCCATAGGGATTCTACCTCTTCATGAGGGTTCTGCCAAATTGCCACACATCATGATATGGAGTGCGGGCCTAGGATATTTTGCTGTGTGAATACCATGTGCACATGCTTGCAACCTTACTGAAAAAGGCCTAACAATAATTCTCCAAGTTCATGTATAAATATATTTATATAATGTGTGGACTATTAGGTCAAAGTGTGTTGTCTTGTTCATGCCATTTATTCTATTTCTTAAGAAGCGATGTTCTAGCATGGGTTGTTTCATGTTGGCTGAAGCTATGCTTTTTTAACTTCCCAATTGCGAATGGGTAACTTCCCAACTAGCATAATGATTTTGTCATACCATGATGCTAGATGTCAATATTGGATGGGAACATGAATTAATCGTATTATAGTAAAAATATCAAGACACTTATCCTCGTGAATGACAACCTAACGAATAATACAAAAGCTGAGAATTAAAAATTTGTATTTGATATTAGATCTAAACCAAGTGGGACATTATAACTATTGTGTCCTATGTTCAATTCTTGGGTGGACTTAATAATTACTATTGGACTAAGATTAATTAGTAAGATTAATTTTCTTTTATGTAATTAGAATTTGTGAAAACATATAAATACATAATCCATATTTAAAGTTCTATGACTTGTTATTATTCATGCTAGCACAAGAGATTTAGGTGAAAACCCCTAAACATAATTCTCTCTAAATTTAATTGGTGGCCGGGGAATCGTTAGTGGTGTCAGAGGTCCAATTTATTTGTGGGAATTTATATTAGTAGCTGGATATTTGGACAATTGTGGCATACGAAGATCGTTGCAAATCAAATTCAGAACAGTATCAGCTTATGAAATTGTTAAAGGTATATATACTTCCAATCACATATTCTATCTAGTCACAAAGATGATCAAACTTTAATTTGGGTATTGATTTTTTTCTTTTTTTAATACCACTATACATGTTTATGTAAATACCCAACAACTTCTTCGAACTTACTTTTTCCCCAACAAAAATGTTATGTATTATGGAATTTAATATTAAAACGTAAACCATATGTTAAAACGATAAGGATAAATCTCCATAAAATATGTGCTAATTGCTTTTTTCAGATTTGAAAATTGAGAGAAGCAAAATAAAAAAAAAAAAGTCAACTATTCTCATCCACTCAGAAACTTTAAATTCAAGTTATTGAACTAAGCTATCTTATTTCCAACTGAACATTTAATCCACGTTTTAAAATATTAAGAATTATTAATTGAAATGTGCTGAATTATGCCTCTTGTTTCAATCAAAAAATCACACCTTTCACAGTAAAGAAATATGTACCAAGTAGAAATGATAGACCTGTGAAGTGACACTGAAATATAAAGTCAGTAAATTGAGTTGAAAAATGTTATTTAACATTAATCTAAGTCACAAGAGACATAAAATGTCAGCATCCATATTTTGAAAGTTGTTACCTTCTTGATATATAGCACAACAATCCTAGAGTCGCCAACCACCCATAAATTTGCATCTAAAAGTGGAAAATAATGGATGCCTCAGGTGCTCAAGAATATGACAGAGTGCAAGAATTGAAGACTTTTGATGAAACAAAAGCTGGTGTAAAGGGATTAATTGATTCAGGAGTGCAAAAAATTCCCAAGATTTTTGTAAGACCAGCTGAAGATCTGGCTAAAGATTTAAATTACAAGAGGGCTCAAATAGAAGTCCCTGTGATTGATTTGGATGATCTGGAGAAAACCCATAGGCATAAACAGATTGTGGAAGAAGTAAGGATTGCATCAGAAACATGGGGATTTTTCCAAGTTGTGAATCATGGAATATCCTTAAATGTGCTCGATGAAATGCTTGATGCAATACAGAAATTCAATGAACAGGATGCCGAGGAGAAAAAGAAATACTACACGCGGGATAATACTAGAAGGGTGAGATTTAGCAGCAATTTTGATTTGTTCACATCAAGGACTGCTAGCTGGAGGGACTCAATGGCTATTTCATTTTCAGATCCTGATCAAAGTATATCCGATGACTTGCCAGCTTCATGTAGGTATGTAAATTTAATTGCAGCTCAGACTTTGACCCCCAGATGAGAACTACTGCACCATACTAGACGCAAAGTTTAGTTTTTGCTTTCTTTTTCCATCTGGAAAAATCTGTGCTAAACAAGATTTTAGTGCATGTTTGGTTAGTAGTACTAAACATTGGATTAAATTTTTTAATCTTTTTCCTTAATACTGTTTATTGCTATACAATAAATCTTATCAAACATGCCATTAATTCACAGGGAGTCAGTTATAGAGTACTCGAAACTCGTTAATAATTTGGGAAATATTCTGTTTGAATTACTATCGGAGGCTCTTGGACTCAAACCTGAGCACCTAAGAAACATGGACTGTTCTGAAGGATATCGCCTTACCTGTCACTATTATCCAGCGTGCCCTGAACCAGAACTCACTTTGGGAATTGCAAAGCATTCAGATCCTGGATTTCTCACCATTCTTCTACAAAACCAAATCGACGGTCTCCAGATTTTCTTCCAAAACCAATGGGTTGATGTTCAGCCCATTCGTGGAGCATTAGTAATTAATATTGGAGATCTTCTCCAGGTATACATACGTAGTTTTATCGTTATAATTTGAAGCCTAATAACTCAGTATATCCCCACGAACACGAACCACCATGAATAGGTTTGTTTTCTGATTTCGTTTTACTTGATTGTTGGCTCAATTTTACTGAAGTTTTTTCTCTATTAACTTTTGGAATATAGCTGGTATCCAATGGAAAATTCAGAAGCAATAAGCACAGAGTGGTTGCCAATCGTCTTGGCCCAAGAATTTCCATAGCATACTTTTTCTCTGGACCTATAAACATGGATAACGTTTTCTATGGCCCCATTAAAGAGTTGATATCAGAAGAAAATCCTCCCGTATACAAAGAGGTCCTGTTGAGTGATTATTTAATGAAGTTTATCACTGCTGAACTTGACGAGAATTTTCTTGTTAATTATTGCAAGGGATGAAGATGGCAAGTGAAGAGGCATTGTTTCTTCACCTGCACTTGTGAATGATTTGTTTTCAGAGAGTGGGCTTGTGAAAATTACTGAAAATGTAATTGTCCTGTCGCATGATAATTGCAATTTTATGTAATTAAACTATAGATATTTGAAGTATGTGTTGAATAAATGTATGATACTGTATATTTCTTTGTTTGGAATGCAATAATGTGTAATGTTTTCAATATTGCTTCGTGCATCTACTTGAAAAAGATTAAAAGTCAAGATTCAAAAGGTTAAATCTGCGTCGAAACAGGGTTGTATCGGATACCAAAATGAAATAAATAAATACAGAAAAACTATAAAATATTATACAACAACAATAAATTTTTATTTTAGTATAACTAGTTCAAACGAAATATAAATCTATATTTGTTAATTAAATTTATTATCCTATAATTTATTTTTAAACTTCAGAAGCCAACCATCAATATGACTAAACAATTTGCTTTGTTCAGATTGAAATTGTTTCGCCTTATACTTTTGGTGGGGTCATTTTAAAATTTGTTCAATTAATATCCAATGTTTATTTGGCAATTTAGTAGTCTTTTATCTCACATCGAATGATGAATACTACAGTGAACGGAGTGTCGTTAAAAGGACAGCACTTGGAAGGGGGAAAAAAATGAATTGGGCCTGTAATTGCAATGTAGGAGTCCATCAAAACAATTGAAAAAATTGTTACAAAAAATGGGAATGATTAAAATTGGATTAAAATTGAAAATAAAATCATTATTGTTGATTTTTATTAGATTGGTGGGACTCAATAAAGACTATATTTTCAATTTTAATTGAATTAAAATCACTCACAAACAAGCTCTTATTAAGTGAAAATCATGACCGATTTTCTATCTCACAGTTAAACCAGCCAATTTTAAAATTTTTTACCCATTTTTCTTTTTCCGATTAACATAATATGATCGAACTGGATTTGAGGCCGATTCCTTATTTATAGGTTGAGCTGGCCTGTCAGGTTTGATTTTTAAAAATATACTAATTAATAATAAATGAAGATTTTGAAAATCTTCACACTCCAAATTTGTAAAAAACGAAACTTAGTTTGTTATTACATAGAAAATGCGATTATATTCTCTGTGTAAATGATAGGTTGGTGGTGGACAGCTGTGGTGAAGAAGTGGAGTGAGAAAAATAGTGATTGTGAGTTAATTGTGTCATGTTGTAATAATAAACAATTTGTGACATGTTAATTTTGTATTTTGTGATTTAATAAGTGATTGTGATCCACAACTTATGTCTTTGAAATTGTTATCTTGTGATTTGTGACTAATATGCGATCGTGATAAAAAATTGTGATATTATAATTGTCACATATCTAATTAAATTATAGATTATAACATTTTATAGCCTCATAACTCGAAGTTCTCAAGGCCAACCCATATCACTTCGGACACATCACAGCTTTACTTCGCGTCAACGTTCGGCAAAACCATTGGCATTCGCCACTCAGCTGCCCGTCTCCAACGCTCATCCGCATGTGTCCCAACTCAAAAACAGTAGAACTAAAAGTCCTTATATTATATAAATATCTATACATGGACTTGCAGGACTATTGTTACGGGCCTGTGTTAGACCCGCCACGTGTTAGTAGAGGTGGTTCACACCACACCACGCATCGATCGAGGTGATTGTACATGCCGAAGTGATTGCATAAGTAATTGAACACGCGTCAGCGAAGGAACCGGGCTCATCTGCAATTACACCGTGGATGCAAAGACCCGCACTCCGCTTCTGCAACGTCTCTCCTGCCTCGCCTCGCCCATCGAAGATCTTTTGTACAAAGATCTTTCCAATGTCAAATCTCTGACTGATGGGACGTGCGACAAGACCCAAACGGTCAATTCAGTTACCTTTGTCAAAGACATTTAAGGCCAGCCAACCTATGGAGGGACGGATTGACACCTAGGATAGGATGAGCCCTGAGGATCTGATAACACGTGTTTCCTCATCCAACGGCTCTCATCTTCCCATCTTTAGTATAAATATCCATTTCTTGTCCCAGAAGAAGGATTCGATCAAGATTTTCTCCTACTACATTGCAAATTTAAGTATTATCTTCTCCCTTAAGTATTGGCACTTTATCACTATGCACTTTATCAACCACTTCCCGGCGAGTGTTCTACCACCAGTAAACCTTTTCCGGTTGAACTATAAACTGACTTGACCGTCGGAGTGCTCACGGCCACTCCCAACCGCTCCGAGAAAGGCCACGGGTGACTAACGGCGTACTACGTGTGTAGGGAAGAGCTGACTCGAAGAGTAATTCTGTTGGTCATGTGTTGGAGCCATTTTTCAAGGTCAACATCTAGTATGGTTTTCCTGGGATAGATGAACGAGTGAAAATGAAAGCCCTTTTAGGCATAAACTTACCTGAAGAAGGTTGCCAATATTAACTACAAAACTCCCAGATAGGGGTGGAAAATCAACCCAGTGGTTATCCCATAAGACTTGGAGGCCACCAATTTGGTCTTGTAGAAGAATAGTTAAGAATGGAGGATCAGTGTGCTTGTTGGTTCCCAATGTCAGGTCGGGCTCTGGGCACGCTAGATAATAATGGCAAACGAAAGCTCGTCCTCTGCCACATTCCAGGGCGCCTCCTAGATGTTTGGGTTTCAAGCCAAGAGCTTCTGATAATAACTTGAACAGAACTTGTCCCAGCTTTGTAACTTGATTGATATACTCAATAATTGCACTCCTGACAATGAGTTAATATATTTAATAGTTACAAATTACGTTCCATATGGTAAATCTACATAGCAGACTTGACACAAAAAAGTGTCGATAGAAAACTATTTGACTGTTCAGGAAACTAAGTCCTGATCGACGAATAATCACGATTCAATCACAATTCAATATTTTAAGTTTTCTAATTTAATTTCTATTGAATTATTGATATTCATCTGTTTTCACAAGTGTTGTTGGGTATTCATCTGCCGTATGCGTCTCGGTCTCACAGTGCGTGAGTCAGTGAGTGCACTATGAGTTTGGCTGTTGGGTGTTGCCTGTTGGCAGTTTCAATGTTTCTATTTGCGGGAAATTTTGAAGCCAACTAACCAAGTAATGCTATTTAATAAATTTTGAAACCAAGCAACGATTCCATATTTTATTTTGTTTATTTACATTCCAATTCCTATTTGTAATTTTTTTTGAACTTTTACTAATATCGCCCGCACTGAAAAAATTTCGTGAGTCCGCCCCTGGACAAGAGGACTATGTGACAAACTGTTGGATTGTGTCAAGCTAATTGGTTCTAATTATTACACGGTATTCTATACATGTATTAAGTCTCAATAATATTCATATTATGTGGGTGAGTAGTGTCGACAATCTTATTTTCATGCATGGATAGGTCAGAAAGTTCAATAAGATGGTAGTTGTACCTGCAAATTGCGGGCAATTCTTGAGGTTCAACATGATACGAGAACAAAATAGAAATGGCCAGTGTCCCTCCAATTAGCCGCACGTGATCGATAAAGATCCACATTGCAAACATAAATCACCTTCATTGTCTGATCACGAGAATAATACTCTTTCTTTACCTCAGCATCTTGTTCATGAAACTTAGGAATTCCATTGAGTATGCCATCTAAAACACTAAGGGGGATTCCATGATTCAGCAATTGGAAAAAGCCCCATTCTTTTGATGCTTGTCTTACTTCATCAACGATCTTCTTACGCCGATTATCTAATTCAATCCCAGTTAAATCTATGAACGGAACCTGTAAACTAGTCCGGACAAAATTCAATTCCTCAGCAAGCTCATCAGGTGGCCGCGTGACTATTTTGGGGATACTGACTATCCCAGAATCAACTAGTCCTTCAATACCAGCTTTTGTATCCTCAAAGGCCTTCAGCTCTTTTATGCGATCATAATTTTTCTCAGATTCAGCTGTGGACTCTTTAATGCTCACATTATGTAGTCGGCCTGACATGCTCATACTATCTCCCAGAATCAACTAGTCCTAACATGCATATTTACTGTATCAGCTTTTCTCACTTCATAGTTTTTAACAATTCAGAAGAATCTGAATGGAAGATAATTTCCTCACGTATTTCTTCGTATTAAGTCTAAATCAATGTTCCGTTCAGTTGTGCTGAAGTAGGTCATGTACTTTGGAGGATTATCTTCTGATAAAAGTTCATCAATTGAACGATAGATCTTTGCGGATACTGTTAGATCATTTCTAAAGAAACATGCCACTGAAATTCTTGTACTAATATTATTTGCAATTACTCTATGTTATGTGCTAAAAAGACTGTCCTTCGATACAAACTGAATTAATAAAAAATAAAAAAAAAACATCACAGACGAAAGGTTAATCAGATTTATCACAGATTTTGTGAAGGACAGAAAGTAAAGATGTATGACGATATGATTGTTGAAGACAAAATTTAATGAACTGAATGTGTCCCAATCTATATACATTGGATATGGCTTATAATATTGTTTGATTCTTGTCTTTCACTNCTTATAATATTGTTTGATTCTTGTCTTTCACTTGAACAGAGCTCTTTGTTCTTCCACTTTAGTTACTTAGTCCCAAGTTTCTTGTGTTACTTTGCCTAGGCTCCATTCAAATCATTTACAATTTCTTTTAGGGTTATTTTGGTCCAAAATTAAGAGAAATTGCCATACTGCAAAACATTGAAGAAGTGACCATTTTTAAAATGTGACACGTGAAAAGGGACATTGGTGTAATTTCTTCCATAAAAATTGGGGTTAAATGTATTGGTTTGTCGAACTCCAGGGGATTTTACGACTTTTGTTGTCATAAATAAAACCTGTTGGGGTTTCTATTTTGTTGCATGTATGTATTTTTGTAGATGTTTCCAAAAATAGTTAATATACGGGATCCCATCAAGGCATCTGGTAGCACAAAAGAATCTCTTCGCATGTGGTTTCTCTGTAGATGGCTGTGTTAAACAATCCAAAGGAGAAA